TGGAATCTTGCAAGGAGCAGGCTTATCTTGATAAGCTAAAAAAAAAAACCTTCCAACTCTGTAATAAATTTTTTCTTTGCCATGAGTTTTCACTAAAAAAAATAATGAATGAAAGCTGGTTCAAGAACCCCAGGGCCTTTTTAAATTAAATGTAGCTTAAAGTAAAGAGAAAATTAATTTTGGCATTCCAATTGCTTCATATTAAGAAGATTGAGATTCTCCCGTTCAGAGCTAAGTCACTGTAATGATGAAATAAACGATAAGATATTCAATTTGTTAAAGTGGTTAAGACACCAAGCTAGAAACTGGGAGACTGTGAGTTCCAGTCCTGCCTTAGGCACACAGCTAATCGGTTAACCTTGGGCAGTCCCTCTCTCCCAGCCCTAGGAAAAAGGCTACAGCAAAGCACTACCAGAAATGGCAGTTGCCAGGAGTGGACCTGTCTCAAAGGCATACACACACACACACACACACACACACACATGGACATTGGTTTAATTTTTGTTGTAAACAAATCTTATTTCAGTTTAGTTGGATACTATTAGGCATTTGAGGAAAATAATAGATACCTGGAAACTATTAGATGTTAAGGCCTCTTGCCTGAGTGATTACTATAAACCGTTGACAGGCGCTTCAGTTTTGACACCAGTGATGCTTGGGAGGCTACATCCTATCAATTCAGGTGGACAGCTTCAGATATTGAAACAGCTTCGGATACATTGTTCTATGCATGTCTGCTTCATTTTTAAGACAGCCTTGACATCCGCTAGATTTGTGAGCTTCTGACAATCCTTTAATTGTTGTCAAATTCTCAAGGCCTTTACCTTGTAGCATGTTAGGTGTACTGAATCAGCTCACATCAAAATAAATTGATTTCTTATTTTTCAAAAACTTATCATTTTTCAACAACATCGGTTCTCACTGCTCTGTAAACGGCACACTGTTTTCATTGCTTTATAGTAGTAATGTGTTCGTAGATGTGTTCCAAGATAAAATGAATATTGCTCAATTTCATTTCATAGTTTTTCTGCATTGTTCTTTACAGATAAAATCTATGTAAATAGCTGTTATTCACCAACTATTCTATAATAAAATGCTTTGAGCATTATAATTATATTTTTATTACTGATGTTGCTATAGAGTAAGTCCAAAAATTGTTTTGTTTCATACTGATAAAAATAAAGTATATTTGTGCAGAGGTGTTAATTCTAAAAAAAAACAACCAAACAACAACAACAATTGTATGAATTCCGTTGTAGGAAATAGAATTTATATCTGATAGAATTTAAAGAGTAATCCTTACTCTTTAAAATTCTACTAAACTCTAATGGAGTTAAATAATTCATTGGAAGTACATCCTATTATGATTTCTGTTGATATGAGAAAATGTCTGTAAATTAAACTGAGGATGAATTTTAAACATACAGAAAAGGAGAAAAAGAAAAATTAATTTTTGAAAACTTTATAGTATATAATTAATGTTTATTAATATGTATCCTGAAAATGGAACACCGTACATTGATCAAGAAGTTTTCTGTAAATAATATTTTAAGTGCAGTGATACAGTGGTTCTCGACTTAACAACCACAATTGAGCCCAAAATTTCTGTTCTTAAGCAAGACAGTTGTTAAATGAATTTTGCCCCATTTTACAGCCTTTTTTTTACCACAATTGTTAAGTGAATCACTGCAGTTATTAAGGTCATAACATCTGTGTTTTCATTGACTTGCTTGTCAGTGAAAAGTCAAAAGATGATCACATGACCCTGAGACACTGCAACTGTCAAATACATGCCAAATGTCAGAATTTTGATCACCTGACCACAGGGGTGTTGCAATAGTTGTAAATGTGAAAAATGGCCATAAGTCACTTTTTTCAGTGCCAGAACTGAATTTAAATGAATGGTTGTAAGTTGAAGACAATCTGTACACCCCAAGCTACCGCTGAAGGTTTTTTGATACCTAAAGTGAAAATCAAATGTTGTATGTTTTAAAAGTACTCTTTCTCATAAAAATATGATCAAAACAAATAATTTATAATTTTTTTTATTTTATTTAAAAATATTAATTTGTAAGCATTTATCATTTTTTTCTAGCTCTTTGATTCCCCCCCCCTCTTTTTGGAATATAAAAAATGGAAACATTTGTTCTATTGGTATATTCTACATGTTTTATTTGCTAGGTTCTGTGGCCTCCATGTTTTGGGTTGATGCTGAATTGGGAAGTGACATTTATCTTGATGGTAAGAAAATTAATATTTGAATATCGTGTGTGTGTGTGTGTGTGTGTGTGTAGAACAAGAGATCCTGAAATTAAATGAAATGCAATTGTGTTCAAAGCAATTTAGTTCAATGAGGGTCTTTAAGCTATTTAGATATGCTTGGATTTTTCTGAAAGTGTTGTTCATATTATCATAAAATAGCTGTGAGGCATGGGAAGTGACAAAATATTATACTGTCACAAAATGTCAGAAGATGTTAAACTGATGAATCTTAAATGTAGATTTTGCTCCTTTCCACCATCTGTTTTCTTTGCTAAGAAAATGCTTATTTCACATCTCAGAAGACAAAGCAATTCACCTCTTATTAAATTTTTATAACTTAATTCTGCCAGTAAGAAATTTTCCCCAGATTGCTTTCTTTCTTTCACACAAAGAAAATATACACAAACCACCTTGCCAGCATATGGTTTGATTCAGATTTCCCCCCTTCCTTTGTCTCAGGATTATCTCCTCTAAACAAGGCTTGGCTCTCTTCTTATGGAACAGCCCAACTCAGTACATTCAGACAGGCAGCTAACCACTCCATTCATTATAGAAACATATTGAGCCCTTCCCTTCCTTCTTCTCCTTACTTGCACTAGCTTCTTCCTTTTTTGTCGGTTCTTTGATTGGAAGGAAAGAAGATTGATTGATTGGGAAGTCCCAGCTAATTGCCATCTCCTCTTCTTTCTTTCTGGAAAATGTTCTGGATTTCTTTGGATCCATGAGACATATAGAGAGAGGAAAAGGCAAGACTTTTCTCCTTAGTTTGAATTCAAATCATTTTTAATATTCCTGAAAGTGCCTACATTGTTTTTTTAAATTAACCTCAGCATCTAAGGAAATGTTTTGAAGGCTTATTGCATCTTAGGTAATTTATTGTCTTAATTCCATGTAAATAATATAAGACATCTGCGAATTCTATTGATATTCTTCAAATCAAGACTCTTCCTTCCTTTCTTTTTAGGTATTATATCTGTTGTTGATGCAAAGCATGGGCTACAGGTAACATAAGATGATTTTTGTCAATTACATAGCAAAGAAAACAAACTGATGAATTTTGTATGCCTAATAAACTAGGATGCTTGACTGTGTGTGTCTCTTAGAAGTAGTTCTTTACTTACCACTGTAATTGAGCTGGGAATTACGATTGTATATTGTGGATATTAGGGTCACCTTGTGATCACACCTGATTTTATGACCTTTTTGCAATTGCTGCAATCGTTAAGTGAAACTCACATATACAATATAAATATACAATATAAATATAAAAGGCCCAATGGGTGCTTTTTACTGGAAACTAGAAGTAAATGGCAGGAACTGACCAAAAAAATGGCACAAATCACAGTCACAGGATCCCTGGTCACTGCAAATGGATATAAATGCAAGCAGGTTACTTAAGTGCCCCAAACACAATCATATGATTGCAGTGTGTGTGTTGCGCCCAGAATTTTGAAAATGAGTCATAAGTGATTCAAGGAAGATCTGAATGATCACTTACTTGGGACTACAAATTTGCCCAAGTCTGAGCTGTTAACTACTGTACATACATTTATTTATATCATGATTTGCCATACCACAAGGGGTTTTAAGATTCATGCAACATGAATAAATCATCTGGCTTTTTATGTGACAATAAATATACTTTGATTAATTGTTTTATATACTGTATAGGGAAGTATTTTTTGTAGTTGACATTTAAAAAAAAACTTGCAAAAAGTTTTTGAAGTAATAAATGTATAATGTTTGATGTCTTTGGAATGCAATCCGCTGTGCATTACTCAATCAGTAAACATGTAAAAAGCTTGACACATTGCCGGTTAGATGGCAGCTTTTACATTTTCTGTCATACACCAGATAAATAACTTTTGCTTTGTGTAGGGAATTTGCGATCTTGTCCAATTCCTGTGGTTTCAAAGCCTGACCTTTGCCTTGGTATATGATTAAAAACCGTCCGGAGGCCATACAAGTGATGACACTGAGATAATAGGTAGCAATTTAGAAGTGTCATGCTTCGGGGATCCAACCTAGTCCATGTGAAGCTGAGAAATTGTACCCTGTCGCTAGCAAGCCAAATTGAAACTGAAATGGTAATTGATATCATGGACTATCACTCTAATGGGATTGTCACCTAGGAATCTGAAATATTCATGTTTTAATCTAAAGGCAAATGATTGGACAGCTTGCAATGACAGGTCACAACACTGACAACACAACACAAAAAAGGTCAAAAGAGAGTTCTTGTGCTATTGTACATCCTTATCAAGATATTTAATCAGAAAATACTATTGGAACTATTTTTTTCAAATTTGCAATATGGATTAAAAATATTTGCAGCTGCATTTAAATCACTTCTCAATCTTTTGGCCAGGATCAAGTCAGTGAAAAGAACCTTTCCGTTGCATGTTTCTTTTTCTTCTTTTCCTTGAAATAATATATCACACTGGAAGCATCTGTCTTGCCAGGGTAGTATCAGGGTAAGGTGCTAAACTAAGACTGGGCAGAACGATGTTCAAGACCAGGCTTAGCCTTGGAGTCACTTGGATAACTCTTCAGCGCAACCTACCTCAAAGATTTCTTTCTAGATGGAAAAGGATTATAAATTTAACTAACTAATATTCAAATTAAGTGTTGAAATACTGTGGCAGTGATTAACAGGAATACAGGTAGTCCTCAACAACGGTTCATTTAGTGACCATTCAAAGTTACAACAGCACTGAAAAAAGTGACTTATGACCAGTTTTCACACTTATGACCGTTGCAGCATATCCCCATGATCACATGACCTTGGGACAATTGCCACAAATACAGACCAGTTGCCAAAGTGTTCAAATTTTGATCATGTGATCATGGGGATATGCTGCAACGGTCTGTATTTGTGGCAATTGTCCCAAGGTCATGTGATCATCATTCCCAGCCGGCTTCCAATGAACAATGTCAATGGGAAAAGCCAGATTGGCTTAACAATTGCGTGGTTCATTTAGCAGCTGCAGTGATTTTCTTAACCCATGGGAAAAAAGATCCTAAAACGAGACACCGCTTAACAACTGCCTTGCTTAGCAGTGGACACGTTGGGTTCAGTTATGGTTGTAGGTTGAGGATTACTTGTAATTGTGAAGTGCTGATGGATGTGTAACTACTAGTTTTAGTCCAGGACCATTGACAGCTAAGTAAGTGGATGATGACAGTCTAACACCTGGATGTCAAACTCTCGTGGAGTCACATAGCTGTCACATGATGTATCATGACGGTTTTCCCCTTCATAAAGCTGGGGTAGGTGTGGCCTGTGTGTGATGCATCCCCCCGTGGGCCGCCAGTTTAACACCCCTGGTCTAACGGCATGTATCAAACAGATAAAATTATGAAATATAGGTATCTTTATTAGGTTTTCTGTGAACGCTCAGAACTTTTTCTTTCAGAAAGCACTCTCGGAATTTTTGCTGTAAAATTAAAAACAAAATCAAAGTTAAAATTAAAATTTCAACACAGATTAAAATTTCTATTAATGTTATAATTATGGAGAATTAGCAACATCCATCTCAGTTCGATTGAACTGAGTATAATATCTCACTGACAAATAGAAGCAGATCGAAGGCAGCTATTTTAAGTATGTTTATATATTGTGAGTTTTTCTCTTTAATCTTTTCTTCATCTGATGTTTGAGACTGAAACAGGAAAAACTTAATGATATTTTCTGTGTAATGTGTACTCTGTAAAGATCAGTTGATTCAGTTTACAACACAAAATATTCCTTTTTAGAATGGTGTTTTTGATTTTTTTTCCCCCAGCACCTGAAAGAAGAAAAACCCACAGGCCTTATTAATGAAGCTGCTAGGTATTGGTATATTGCAGTTTTTTTCCTCTAAATCTTAGTTTGTTTAATGGGAAATGCATAAACAGTAAACATCTTTGGATCATTTAGGAACATTACTAGTTAAAAGTTCAATTAGTAGATCCAATTCACTTGCTCTGTATTTGTTTCCTGAATGCTTAACTGTTCCTCTGTAGTTTCCCATAGAAGTAAAAGCTATTCCCTGTATTTTATGTATTTTTATTTTTTCAATTCACATAACTGTCCATCTCATGGCTCTGTCCATGCATGGCTCTGGATAGCTCACAGAGTTAAAATATCAAAAAAGAAAACCATAAAAATAGCTAAAAAAAAAAAAACCATATAAAGAGCCTCAGTGGCTCAGTGGTTAGAGTGCAGTACTGCAGGCTACTCCTGCTGCAGCCAGTTGCCTGCAATTTGGCAGATCGAATCCCACCAGGCTCAAGGTTGACTCAGCCTTCCATTCTTCCGAAGTGGGTAAAATGAAGACCCAGACTGTTGGGAGCAATAGGCTGACTCTGTAAACCACTTAGAGAGGGCTATAAAGCACTATAAAGTGGTATATAAGTCTAAGTGTTAGTGCTATTGCTAAAAACAATGGTAGCAACTGGAAAAAAAAATGCAGGAGAGTGCCAATCAGCTTACAAACAATACAGCCATCTTGCAGGCTTCTGCTGACTGCCGTCTGCCTGCAATTTGGCAGTTCAAATCTCAACCAAGCTCAAGGTTGATTCAACCTTCTGAGGTTGGTAAAATGAGGATCCAGATTGTTGGGGACAATATGCTGATTCTGTAAACCACTTAGAGAGGGTTGTAAAGCATTGTGAAGCGGTATATAAGTCTAAGTGCTTTTGCTATAGCTCCATGGGATCTCCAGACCTGATGGCAAAACCATGTTTTCCAAAAGGCTGATAAGACTGAGGCCAATCTAACCTTATAGGAAATGATGTTTTACAGGGCAGATGCTTCTGGGACCACAAGGTGGTCTCTTGGGTCCCATTAGATGAGACTCTTTAGCAAACAGGACCATCACATGCCATTCTGCTTGACTTGATGGAATGAGTAAATGTAAACAGGGAGAAGTAGTCACTCAAATCACCTGACCTCATAACCAACAACATAAATTGAACCCAGATGCATTTGGAAAAAAAATGTGTAGATTCATAGATGGTGGTTAGCTTAATTACTGACTTAATTGTAGTTAAATAATTAACTGTAATCCATAATGGACTGGATTTCTAGAGCCCAATAAGTTACTTTATCAGAAGGCAACCCAAATTACAAGCACCTTAGATTAATGGAGCATGGGAACAAATTATCTTTTTTTAATGCTCTGAAAGTTTTTAGATTTCTGTTGTTGTATTCCATCAGAATAAGTAAGTGTGTGCTACTTTTAAATGACTTCTTTATTCAGCATTTCACTTTCTCCTGTATATAACTTTCTTTTTATTGGAATGAGAATGACAAAGAATCTTAAAGTCTGATTGTTTTTTAATTAAAAAGGTACATTTTTAAGTATAATTGTTTAGAAGTAAGTTCTGCAGTATTCAATGGTGCATTTAGTAAACAACGTACAGCCTTTGGTGCTTTGAAATCAAGTAAATGATTATTATTTAAATTTGCAGTAGAATTTGTTTTTATTTTGCACAAGCACTATAATGTAGTCCTCCTGAAAGATAAATCAAGGTGATACTTGTGTTAATAAGCATACAATTACTTGTGTTTACTTATTTTACTTATTTTTCACTTACTGAATTTTCTCTAGGCAGGTTGCCTTAGCAGATCTTATCATCATCAATAAAGTAGACTTGATTTCAGAAGCTGAACTGATGAAATTAAGAACAGCTGTCTGGTAAGCATACATTTATTTCCAGTATCTTATTTATACATTTTTATACTGTCCCTTTACTTAAAAAAAATCCTCAGAAATCAAAACAAGTACAATTAAAACAAGTTTAGAGGTTTACATTGCATTTCAACTACCTAATCATTTAGGTCAGTGTTTCCCAACCTTGTCGACTTTAAAACATGTGGAATTCTGGGAGTTGAAGTCCACATATCTTAAACTTGACAAGGTTGGGAAACACTAATTTAGCTGAACCATGCAAAAGCAGTAGAAAAATAGGCAGCTTTTCACCTGAGAGAAGGGGTGGTTTTTTTTGTCTTCAGGCACTAATGAGTTCAGCAAGATAAAGTGGCTCCTGAGGAATTTGGTTGAAATATTTATTGTTGTTTTCCTGTGACTGTGGCCACTGGAACAGTAGATTACATGGGATCAAAACAATACATTTGATTTAATTATTTAATTGGCAGGTAGTTATTTAAATACATTCTCTTCAGATTTACAACTTTTTACTTGCTGTAGGCTTGACGTTTTGTATGAAGTGAAACTAACTAGAACAAAGATTAGTTGTAGTCTCCGCTACAGTTTAATGAAGTCAGGAAGCTTTTGACTAAGGCAGAATTACAACCACTGTCATTAATTATCTATTAATCTTTTATTGGGAGAAAAAGATGATTTTTGAGGCTCAAATGCCTAGCTATTTCTGCTTTGGCAATAGAGTTGGATTTTGCAGGGTGGAGGACTCTGTATTCAGTAGCCGAAATCCTATGTTTCATTTGTAAGCCACTCAGAGAGGCCTTATCAGTGAGATGGGCATATAAATTTAATAAATAATGTGCAGGTTAAGGGCATAAACCGGATTATAGGATTTACAGGCCATATGCTGCTTAGTTGTATTGCTGTGACCAATGTGGTAACTTTAACATTTGCGGTAGAATACAGTATGATTTCAGAAGTTCTCTGACTGGAAATCCCCATGCTACATGGGGTAGTCCCCTGCACCCATTTTTCTCTCTCAGAGTACCTCTGGATCTCTCTTTTTTGCCCTTAATCCTACAATTCCCACCAACATCAAAAGCTCGCCCATTTTCAACATTATCATGACATCATCAAGCCCTTCCACAACCTTCAGAAGCCAAACAGTTTTATAAACTATGAAGCATGGTTCTTGAGTCCAAAAGAAATTATCCATCTCTGAGCTGAGTCATTATATGAAACTGTAGGATCCCCGTTTTGTTTACAAACAGCAGATTTCTTTCAGATTCAAAATTCTGACAGTTAAATAAACCAGAAAATAGATAGATTGGGGAAAGCTTTATTGTGTCTATAAGCACCAGTATACCTGCAAATACTTTTTGGTGGCAATCAGTCTCCCTGCTATGCCAGACCTACACATCCTCCTCCGTCTTACCTGGCTATGAATCTAATTTAATCAGAAAAGGAAGCAAGAAATCTGTAGAAAAAAGGAACTATATTTTTGGTCTCCGGAAGAAGAATCCTGTGAAGTTAGATAGGGTGGCAGTGAGTGATCAACCCAAAGGAATCCACTGAACAACATAGCTGAGTTGAGATTTGAGCTCCAGTCTCATCAGCAAAAGTTCAAGAGTTTATTGTATTACACTAGCTCAATGCATAACAATCGTCTTGGAGGATTTGGGCAAGGATGACATTTCTTTGTTACTCTAAATTATCATACAAGGCAGTTGATCTGCCTCTTTGAAGGTTCTTCTTGCAGAAACTTGAAATCAAGCATTGCCAGTAGCTATTTCAGTTCTTGGGAAAGTCCTCCCTGATGAATTTGAGGAACATTTGAAAACACGCTCTTTGAGTTTGGTTTTCCTGTTGAACATTTTAAATTAATGTTTAATGTTCTAGAAGTTGTGGTTTTATATTTTAATTGAACTTCCATAAAACCTTGTTAATTCATAAAATGTAAAGTCTATTATTATTGTTTTTGCAGGGATCAGATTAAACATAGGAATCTAAATTTTGTCAAGTTGGGTTATAAATTATTTCTGATATAAGTATTCTATCTTTTCCCCCTTCTTCAATAATGTTAGCGCAATAAATGGAGTTGCCAACATTTTAGAAACTCAGCGCTCAAGGTAATTAAAACAATGCTAAATTAACTACTTTTTCCTACTATTGTGAATAATATACATTAATCTGAAAAGTTTATTTTATTCAGGAAGTCAGGCTACACAAGCAGTACCCAATTAGTTTATATTATTATCTGACATCTGTCCCTGACAACTCCTGAGGCTTGAAAAAAACAGTTGCTTGGTGTCAGTGGACATTAGATGCTGTGAACAAAATCTGAATTCAGACTATTCTAGCAATCAGTAGACTTATTCACTGTTTAGCAAATCACTTTGGACAATATTTATAGCCTTTATGCAAGATATGAACATGTTAGTAAATTGTTTGCATAATTTTTATATAATTACATACATTTGGCTATATAGATACTCCCATCTGGTCCAAAAAAATAGAGGTTTTAGTGCATCAAGATGGTAGAACGTATTAGTGTAGGTTTGTGTGTATGTGTGCACACCTTCAAGTCAGGTTTATTTCTGGTGATTGCCTAAACAAGTTACTGTACAGAAATTAATTGCCATTTTTCCTCCTTCCTAGGGCTCAGAGCAAGGAGGCTGACCCAAGGTCACAACTGTCTGAGTTCCTAAGGCAGGATTAGAACTCAGGCTCCTGTTTTTAATCTAGTGAGAGCATATGATTAGCTATAATATAATACATTATCTAGTTCAACTCTTAGCTGGCCGTTCAATCCCCACCGGATTGTTCAAAACATAGTTACTGGACCCTTGGGCAACCAGGTACATTTATAATTAAACTGAGTAGAGTTTATGTAAGGAAGCAAATAGGATTTGATTAACTATAGAATGTATCTCAAGAAAATTAATAACCTTACTGTTTTTTATATTTTATTAATTTAAATTTAATTTTACTAAATTGATTAAAACTAAAGTGTATACATTTTATTAATTCATTTGGAAAAAAGGACATCAATAAGAAAATAGTAGATCAAAAATTTAACAGCTTTCTTTTTATTCTCAATCCCTAAGTAGCAATTTTATTTTCAACCCTAAGTAGCAATTGATCTAAGCCTTAAACATTTCCCAACATGAAATGCAATGGATAAAGAGATCTAAATTATCATTACATTCTGAATTCTTTCAATGCAGTGTTTAAAAATTTGCTAACATTTAAATGTACCCAACATTTCTGCTGCTAAGCAAGACAATTGTTAAGTGAGTTTTGTCCCATTTTGCAACATTTTTTTTTTTTGGCCACAGTTGTTAAGGGAACCACTGCAGTTGTTAAGCAAATCTGGCTTATCCCATTGACTTTGCATGTCTGAAACCAGTTGGCAAAGTTGCAAATAGTGATCACATGACCCTGGGACAGTGCAACTCTCACAAATACATGCCAGTTGCTAAGTGCCCAAATTTTGATTATGGAACAATGGGGGTGCTACAATGGTTGTAAGTGCGAAAATTCATCATAAGTCGCTTTTACAATGCCATTTTAACTTAGTATTTGGTCACTAAAATGAACAGTTGTTATTCAAGGATTACCTGTATATTGCTGGAGAGAAATATGTAGCCCTTTAGATATTGCGAGTTAATAATAGAAGTTGTAAACGTCAGTACTTGCCCTTTACATATTTTCTAACATAGTACTAATTCAGGAAGGAACAAAGCACAATAGATGTTAACAGAAGAATGTAGGTGACATCACATGAATGTTCATTCAGTCTAATGCAAATAAAGTTCTTGTGTAATTTTTCTTATCTAAAGACACTGGAAGGCATATGATTTAATCCTACATTGACTTAGATCTCGGAAATGTATTGTTACATTCATTTCCTCCCTATATAACGTGTTTTGGAAAACATTTTTCCAAATAGTATATGCAAATTTATAACAGAGATAACATTATACAACAGGTTGCAGAGGGCCTTGTAGGCATCACCTATGAAGTGCAATACACTCCTATTTTGCCTGACAGCAAAATGTTAGGAAACAATTTTTTGTTATTTACTCACCAGCTGAATACTGCATTTCCAAACATTTTAAACCCATTAACAGGTTCATTGATACAATCTCGTTAGAAATTCAGATCTGCTTCAGGGCTGGAGGATTTATGTGCTGCTGCTAAACAGTTGCTTTATGAACATTCTTTTCTGTAGTGACTGTCATGTTGGCTTACAGGGGTTACAGTCTTCATAATTCTTTCTTTTGTTGAGTTAGGAAGGTGGAGTGGAATGTGTGAAATAGTTTCAGCAACTTAACACTCTAACTCAGTCTTTCTCGACCTTGGCGAGTTGAAGATGGGTAGACTTCAATACCCAGAATTCAGAATTGTATTGAATTCTGGGAATTGAAGTCCATCCATCTTCAACTTAACCAAGGTTAAGAAACCCTGCTCTAACTTGACATTCTAACTTAAAGCTCCCCAAATTGATACTATGGCTTTTCTTAGTGCCCTATTGCCTGTTTATTGATCATAATTATTCTGCTAGCATGACATAGTGTAAAGTGTACTAGTATTAAATTTAGATTTTTAAAAAGGTCTCTACATTCAAAACTACCATTAGAAATTGTTTGGGGATGACGAACCATTCTTAATTCTAAAGATATTGTTAACGTGATTACAGTGAAGGTCATTATTAAGCACTCTTTGCGATTTCTCATTTTCCAGACTTTGCTTTTTTAAAGTCAAAAGTCGGTTTAGATATTTCTGAACAAACTTTGGAACAAGAGAAGTGTCAGTGTTGTAACGACTATGCTGCGCGAGTTTCCTAACAACAAGGAATTGTTGAGGGCTCTGTGAAGTTTCTTACATTCCCACAAATTTAAGCATTAAAGTAAGCCATTTCTGCAATGCTAGAGAAACTGAAGGAAGGTTGACTTTTCTATGTATAGTAATTAATAAAGGAGCTCATATGTTCAATGAGAATGACTGTAAGTATAATAAGCCTCAAGTCTCTACTGGTCTGCTGTAACAACAATGAAAAAAAGCAGTCTGTATTAATTTTTAAACAATGCTTTTATTCAGTGTGTCTTAAGTAAAAAAAAAACCAACAAACAAAATTGGTTGAATTAAATCAGGATTACTGAAATTGTAAGGATCAAATTGTAGTTTCGAATCTTAATTCATTCTCAAATTATCACAGTTCCCTAAATTTGGGCATCACATGCACCTGAGGTTCCATGTGAAACTGAATGCTTGGCTTTCCATATTAGCACAGAAGTAAAAAAAAAAAAAGGGGGGGGGGAGAATATGAACCTGAAGTATCTCATTCTTATATGATACCTGAAGTATCTCATTCTTATATAAAATTCCACCAGTTTACATTAGGACTGGATTCCCCCTCTGCACTAAATAATATTGCTCTGGGGATTTGGCTAGTTTAGGGTTGAGCCTAGATAATATTGCTTATTCAATAGAGAGGCTAACATTTTCTGCTGAATGGATACACACACCTCTATTCACTTTCCAAAAGTTTTTCAATAATTCTCCAAAGCATTCAGAGAGGCTGACCAGAAAGAATAAAAGACTCCAGTGGAGAGGAGCAGTCATAGCAAAATGCCATAGAGCAAGAGGCAGTCTTAGTATATACATTAAGTATATATCTTTTTAAAAGACATAATTTTTTTCCCCTAGAGTTGATCTCTCTAATGTGTTAGACCTGCATGCTTTTGAGGGTGTATCGGGAAAAAGGTAAGATTATATGTTGTTTTTTGTTTTAGAATTCAACTTGTATTTCTGCTATGCCCTGATATTAACAATTGTCCAAATTATGTTTTGTGTTTGCAATGCTATTGTATTAAATGTGTTGTCCTTCTAAGTTTGCAGCAGAAACTTCAGCTTGAAAAAGAACCTCATCCACATCTAGATAAGGTGAATCTGCATTAAGTATGTCTGATTAAAATTTTATTAATTGTATGCATGTGCCTTTTTATGTTCCTTTCCCTTCATCGTTATATCAGCTCCATGAGGTAAACCAGATCCAAAAATTAACCTCAAGGAAGACTAGAACTTAGCCTTTATTGGCTGACTATAATAACAGAATTTTACAAGTCTGTGCTTTTCCTCCTCTCTGTGCATTATCAGTCATCAAGGGATATAAGAAAGAATTCTACCAGATTCAATAGCAATAGCATTTAGAGTTATATACCACTTCACAGTGCTGTACAGCCCTCTCTAAGCAGTTTACAGAGTCAGCATATTGCCCCAACAATCTGGATCCTCATTTTACCAACCTCAGAAGATGGAAGGCTGAGTCAATCTTGAGCCGGTCAGGATCGAACCAATGACAGTTGGCAGAATTAGGCTGCAATATTACATTCTAACCATTTCATCACCACAGCTCAAGTAATAATGAGATGGGAAATAAAAAGTAAGACATTAGATTTTGGATTTGAATACTTTCTAACTTTCAGATTCAGCCCCCATTGGCCTGGATGGACTGGATGATAGGTCAGAAAAAAAACTCTGCCCTCGGTACCAGTCTTAACTTTGCTTTCTTTAATTTCTTTAGCAAGTTGATGCTTGGGCAAGAGAGGTGCAACCTTTCCTGTTTTGCCTGAAGTTATTGCATTTGGGATTCTAAATGGTTCTAATTTATTATGTAAATAAATGTTTATGATCATCAAATATATAGTTCAAGAAAAATATGTACTTTCTTTGTAATATTACATACATTGCATCACATCGCAGTGCATTCCATTAATTTGCAGATTCCATGGATTGCTAAAATAGAATTTTTATTATTAGAACATATTATTTTGCTTTTACTAAAAAACAGAATATAGCCATTTTTATTTATCGATTTTCAGAGTATTGTTACATCAACTTTTGAAGTGCTAGGAAGTGCAACTGAAGAAGACCTAAATGTATTTATTCAAGTAAGTGCTTTATTATTTGCATGAAAAATCCAAATTACTTACTTCATAGATTAACACATCTTCAACTTTAAAAAAAATAAACGCGATTTGAAAGAATTTGGCTTTTCCCCCCAAGAAGATTATTTTATTATGAATGTATAATTCTTCCTATCATTTTTTAATCTCTTTTAGAATCTGTTGTGGGAGAAAAATGTAAAAGACAAGAAAGGTAACCCCATGGAAGTAATAAGACTAAAGGTTCAGTACTCAGTATTATTCTTATTTTCAAAAACGTTACTGTTTTTAATTTGGATGCAGAAAGTGGCTGAATGTGGAAAGTGGGGCATATGCTAATTTGGAATCATCATGTGGTGCTCAACACAAGTGGTGCAGTGGCCCAGAGGTGGAGCTCTTGTCTCACAATCAGGAGGCTGTGAATTCGATCCTAGGTAGAAGCAGGTATTTCTAATTTCTGGGCACACTGACATTATATCTGCTGAACAAAACTCCGCATTGGCGACAGGAAAGGCATCCGGCCATTAAAACACTCTGCTAGTTCCATTCAGTTGCCCAGACTCCAACCCGTAAGGGATTATGGGGTCATTAAAATGATGATGATACGCTGCTCAAAAACTAAAATTCTAAAATTTTGCTCTGTGTATTGCAGCCGTATGTAGTTCTTTTTTCATCAAATTTTAATAATGTCAAAAGGTCTGCACTTTCAACTTCTGTACCTTCTGGAAGAAATGTGTGATATAGTTTCTTTGTGCACAGACATTACACTAATGATAATGACAGAAGGAACTATTTCATGATCTTTGGAACTATAAATAGTCCTTGAATTATGACCAATTGCTTACCGCCAATTTGAAGTTACAACAGATTATGCCAGGGGCACCTTTCAGGTGCTCAGCAACTGACTTGTATTTACGGCTGTTTGCAACATCCCACAGTCAAGTGACCATGTTTTTGCCAAAACAGCATTTACTCCTGGTTTTTAGCAAAAGTGGTCTCTACCAAACAATTGGTTTGCTTAGCGATTCTGCAAAAAAGATTGCAAAATTAGTGACCCACATGGGCTACCCACTTTACAACTGTTATGACTTACAACCATAATGTGCAGTTTTAAGTCAAGGATTATCTGTACAAGGTTGTTGATATTATAGATGTTATGAAGAGATAGAGCAAGTAGTTTTTACCACAACAGACATTTACTTACCTACATATAATATGCTATCCTATTCTTGCTAGGTAGTGAAAAATATTTATACTTGTAGGGCTCCCTTTAGGGTTAATATAGTATCCATTTATTTATTTTTAAAATTATTAGGCTACCCATCTTATCTCAAGGTAACTCTGTCCATCACTGTTAAGATGAAAGGAATCAATTCCTTTTACACCAAGGATCTTAGAATATGTTTTATTTATAGATTCTATACATAGCATTTCCAGACTTTATATTCAATTTATAGAAACCTTCACTAGCCACTTTGCTAATTTTATTTTCTAATCAGGGATTGGTGTCCATCAAAGATAAATCTCATCAGGTGATAGTTCAGGGTGTTTATGAGCTCTATGATCTAGAGGAAACAACTGTGAAATGGAAAGAGGATGAACGAATTAATCGATTGGTCTTAATAGGTAAGAATATGGGCATGACTTATGTCAGTTGTATAACACTATTAATTCTACAAAAAATGGTACTGTATGACACTGTTGTTGTTAACCCTGTTCCACTTGTTAAGTGATTACTACCACTTGCATCCCCCATAGTCTATGTGTAGTTCAAGACTAAGAGTTTGAGTCCAATTCCTAATCTGTAACCATTTGTTGATGCTCATTGCATAGTAGCTTTGTTGATTGGGTAGACTACTTCTTAGAGAAATAAAACATTGCCAAGGGGTTAAGGTCTGCACTTGTTCTTGGATTTCCACAGAGTTTGCAACTAAAGTAGCTCTAGAAAGTTTGTTAGAGAGGAATAAGTCAAAGCATGACAGCTTTTCCTTCATTAATTTACTAAAAGGCAAATGTTCCGGCAGTACAAGTTGGGAGGAGAAATATTAGAACTGGAACTAAGCCAGCCCTTCATGGAATAAGAATGCGGAGGGGGTGGGTGGGAAACAGTGGGAGTTGCATTTGAAGGGTATAACTCTTCATCCAAGCAATTCCCCCAGCATGGTCAGGACAACAAGCAGATCTGAGAAGTCTTGTCTTTGCAAAAAAGTAATTGAAGTAGACTACATGAGAAGAGATGGACCCATACTGACTTCCTGGGGCTTTCCCTTACCTGTTTATCATTTGGTTTTAATAATTTTTTTGGTAAGCATTGGTTGTATTTCAGGCAACAGCATTGTAAAATATTTAAAATGTTTTCAATTTTATATTATTTGTTCCTAGGAAGGAACCTGGATAATGATATCCTTAAAGACCTTTTCATAGCAACTGTGACCAAAAGAGAGGAAAATAGTTGATACCAGCTTCGGAGGAAAAGTGCTTTATAACCCTGCATTTTTTACCAATGGATTATTAAAATATTTTGGGCCTGTTTTCCTTTTTTAATAGTTGAGCCTTATAAAACTATTGCCCATATATAAAATATCAAGTCTGAATTTGTCTAGAATTAGCAATTAATAAAGAAAATATATGTATGTCCTTGAAATGTTACTTCGCCAGTCTTTGTTTAGAATGATTCCATTATTTAAAACACACACACACACTCTTACGGAAATGTATTCTGTACCTCTTTTCCTTCCTTTAGTCCAGGGGTGTCCAACTCATATTGTCACAGCGGTGTCAGGATTTGCGCCCCCTTCGCTAAACTGGGTGGGGGCATGGCCAGCTCGTGACACATCCAGCCCACGGGCCAGGAGTTTGACAGCCTTGCTATACTCCATGTTTGGTAAAGAGGTGCAAAGATTGAACTCTTGCAGTAAATTAAACTTTGACTAGAACTATCCAATACAACCTTTACCAACTTGGAATTCTCCAAATGCATTTGTCTTCAATACCCATAATTTTCAGCCAATACGGCCAATAGATAATGGAGGTTATGTTCAGGACTATATCAGGATAACGATTAGGGAAGGGTGCTCTAATGAACGTTGAAAATGGTTTCTTTAGAGCTGGGGTGTCCAACCTTGGCAACTTTAAGACCTGTGGACTTCAACTCCCAGAGTTCCCCAGCCATCACGAACTCCCAGTTCTGAGAACTGAAATCTACAAGTCTTAAAGTTGCCAGGCTTGGACGCCCCTGTTCTAGAGTAATGAAATCACAGTTCAAATATGAACAGGTTTCTTTAATTTTAACACACTTCTGTTTTTTAAAGTATCGGGATGACACAACTTTACTTTAAAGTAGGAGTGTGAGCCCTCTGCTTGAAAGGAAATTTGAACCCCTCAAAGCATGGCTAGTTCTTTAAAGAGAGAGAAAAATTGTGGCCAGTGATCCCTCTCTCTCTCTCTCTCTGAAAGCAAATTGCAGAAAAACATTCATATTTCACCCTTTTCCATTGCACTGTAAACTGGTTTCTGTTCAGTTGCCTAATTTGGTATAGGGATTGGACTGCTATCCCAAGCACTGACTTCCTAAATCTTTAAAGTAGCACTAATTCTTTGGAAGCCATAGATATAAGGACAAATGGACATATTACATACACCCTGTAATAAAACACTATTAACTCTTCTAATTTACCAGTTGTCTGACTGATTTTCTCATCCTCAGGGTAATTATGTCAGAATTATCAGTGGAAGTGGCTGGTTGACCTTGAAATATTAAAATCAGACTTGTTCTTAAAGTGACATTCTAAACAAGAAGTAACGAGTAAGATCCATTGATATAATTGCAGTAAGATTGCATAAGATCAGGTGCCCAGTACTTCTAATCCAGGGACTGAAATAGTTCAAAACAAGGATGTTCTTTTCTATTTTTTAATGTGATAGGAAAATAATACATTTTGGTGAATTTGATAAGTAGGTTATTTCTTCAGTTCGGCTATTTTAAAAAAAATTGGATAACTCTTTGATGTGTTCTGCAATTTCTAGAAAGAAAATCTTTGTTAATTTTGTAATTAACAAGCTATGTTGAAATTAAATGAATTTAATTAGATGAACAAGCTATGTTTTGAAATTAAACATTCAACAGTATATCTCAATAAGCAATAGCTTAACATTAGAAAGATTATTCTGAAATTTAAATATATTCGAACAGAAATGTATGAATCTACCCTAAGTTATGTTACAAGACAGTAGATGTCTTACTGCCTGATTTACTAATGGGATAAAAAGCATTAAAAAAAGAATTAATTACTTTTACACTGTGGTGCAGTGGTGTCTTATAAATTGTTTCATTTAGTTTAATGTTGATTAATGTGCACATATAAATAAAAATAAGAACTTTGTAAATGTTACCATTCACTTCAAGCTTTGTAATCAATACACTGTTATGCAGTGTAACTTAATTCTAAAGAGGATAGGATGAATGTTCTTATTTATTTTTTAAACACAAATATATTAGAAGCACGTGGCAGAATTTACAATGGGAAAATTACAGGGCTGGGTTAGATCAGTTCCGGAGTACTGTTGGCAAATCAGCTGAACAAGTGACTCTCTTGAACTTTCTGAACCAAGTTTTCTCACCTTTTTATTATTTTGGAGTCTGGTAAGAAAACTGATGGATAATTTATGTTTTCCTGGCACAAATAAATAGTGCTTTCCTGGATTTATCTGTATCATACCGCATACCTATTATAGCATTTTAATATATTTTGACACCTTCATTTACTGCATAGGCAATAGACAAGAATTTTAATGTTTGTGCTTTTTTTTTGGTCTGGATAAGGGTTTCCTCCCTCTATTTTTTTAAAAAATTAAAAAGGTTCTTTATCCATATCTTAAAGTACTGTCCCTCCCATGATTCGAAAAAATGATTCCTCCCATGATTCGAAAAAAAAACCCTCTATTACTATAAACAAAGTGCTTGTTTCTTCATCTATCGTTTCTTCTCAACCTCTACTTCACACCTTGTATAACCTGGAATACCTCCCCAGTTTATTTTTCCCACTTCAAGAATAAGCCAGGCATTCTTTCTGTGAGTGTCCAGTTTACCTTGCTTTCCAAAAATTTCCACTGCCTAGGGGCTCTTTTCCAGAATACTCTCTGATTTCTGGACCGTAAGCCACCAGAAAGTAGGATAGGCTTTCAAGAAGTCATGCATTTTTTAACCAACATTCAATTACCAAAAAATGGAACAAAAAACCTTAAAATTTTAAGCCCAATAATTAGTTTTAACAGTTGCTACTTCTTTCATATAAACATTCCAAATATTCTTTATTTCAGCTATCTAATGGACTGATTGGATCACATCACCGATCACCATGTTATCAAACAGAATGCATCATTTGGAGAGCTGTGCCATGCCCCTCTTTAAAACCCAATTCACACGTGACACACGGATAGGAGTTCTGAGTTCACCTTTCTATCCGGCATTCCTATCAGAGTCAGAGGGGAAAGGGGGGGGTGTCCCCTCCGATGCGCTTCCCCGACACCCCCCCCCTTCCCCAGGGATGGGAGCATGCCAATGGAAAGGGGGACCCGCCCTCTTCAGGTGACAGGGAGGGTGGAAACAGGGCCATAAAAGACCCCACAGCCTCGAAGCTGGGCCATTCGGTTGCACCGGCTTGCAGGCAGGTCCCCCTCGCCCCCTCTTCGTGACGCGCGTGGATCTTCCCCTTCCTATGAGCCCATCCGGCGAGGACCATCTCCGAGGAGGTCGGAGTTCAGATGGGGAAGAAAGTCCCGGCTTCTTGGGCGAAAGCTGCCGCCGGGGATGTTCCACCCGTCCCAAGGAGATCCGGAGCGGTGGCGCCGGGAGCAGCCAGCCCAGCGGGGCAGCGGAGAAAAGGGCTCCCGGCGCGGAGGCGACGGCCCCCGAGGGGCTGGCCAAGCCCCCTTACTCCTACATCGCGCTGATCACCATGGCCATCCTGCAGAGCCCGCAGCAGCAGCTGCCCCTCAGCGGCATCTGCGCCTTCATCCGCGGCCGCTTCGCCTACTACGGCCGGCGCTTCCCCGCCTGGCAGAACTCCATCCGCCACAACCTCTCGCTCAACGACTGCTTCGTCAAAGTGCCTCGGCAGCCCGGCAGCCCCGGCAAAGGCCACTTGTGGCGCCTCCACCCGGCCTCGCAGGGCATGTTTCACAACGGCAGCTTCCTCCGGCGCAGGCAGCGCTTCAAGCGGCCCGCGCCCCCCTCCGCCGCCGCCGGGATCCTGCTCTTCCCACCTTCCTCTGGTCCCTTACTGCCTCCGGCGGTGGGGCTTCTGCCCGCCTGCGCCTCAGCGGGGGCGGCCCGAGGGCCCGTGCAAGCGGGGAAGGGGCGCCAGGGTCCCGGGGAGGAAGAAAAGCGGCCCCCGGGGGAGGTGGGCCTGCAGGGCGGCGACAGGTGCTCCTTCAGCATCGAGAGCATCATGAAGACGGCGCCCGCCCTGGTGCAGCTGAGCGCTTGGATCCCCTCCTCTGCCGCCGCCGCCGCCGCCTGCAACCGCAGCCAGGCTCTGCTCTCCAGCCCGGAGCGCCTCGTGGCTTCGTGGAAGTCCTTGCTGGCTCCCGGCACCCGTCAGGGTCCCACAGCAGCGCTGTTCGCGGGTCACTCAGAGTTGATCCTCAGCCCGTCTCCTGCCTTCTAGATCCGCGCTCCCTTTCTCTTACCGGACTTTGCAAATTGCTTGCAGGCGGCAGTTGCAAGGAGACGTGGGATCTTTAATCTGACCTCCGGTTGACCTGCTTTAGCAAGCCCCCAACCCCCCGGAAAACTGACGGGGTGGCTCCTTAAATTGGGAGTCATTTTCCTCTTTCGCACCACGCCGATTATGGTGTCTGATCCCCCCCCCCAACAGCAAAGCATCCTACATAACGAAAAGTTCGTCCTTCAGGCAGCGATTGAGCAAAGTTTACATGTGCTCCACATCTAAGGATCCACTTTAATGCAGTGAAGTGTGACAACTAAAAGAAAGAAAGAAAAAGAAATAAAGAAAGAAAGAAAGAAAGAAAGAAAGAAAGAAAGAAAGAAAGAAAGAAAAAGAAAAAGAAAAAGAAAGAAAAAAAAGAAAGAAAGAAAGAAAGAAAGAAAGAAAGAAAAAGAAAAAGAAAAAGAAAGAAAAAAAAGAAAGAAAGAAAGAAAGAAAGAAAGAAAGAAAAAAAGAAAGAAAGAAAGAAAGAAAGAAAAAGAAAAAGAAAAAGAAAGAAAAAAAAGAAAGAAAGAAAGAAAGAAAGAAAGAAAGAAAGAAAGAAAGAAAGAAAAAAAGAAAGAAAGAAAAACTTGTCAGGCTATCCTTCTGATTTCTAATCAGAATTGGATTGGAGCTGAACTCATGCCAAAGGACTGCTTATTTGGCTGTCAACATTTTAAATAAATAAAAGCAGAAATGGACAGACTCATATATGAAAGGGCTAAATTGATAAAAGATGTTCCATTTTATGAACAGCATGAGGCACTTTGATTCCCAGGTTTTGCATTTACCTCCTCATAACAACTTGTTTGTGTTTCCTTCTGGTTCAGCAGAAGAC